TGCCACACTACGTCTCCTGTGATTGTTTCTCAGATCGATTTTGTGGCTCATGATGATATCCCATACTCCTCAGCAGGAAGTGAGGATGTTTATAAACACATCAAGGAGGCAGGTCAGTGCTCTAGAAAGATGAGTCTGTGACAACTCTGCAGATCTCTCCTTTCAGTTTTTAAACTATATTAAATTATATTTGTGTGTGTGTGTGTGTGTGTAAACCAGGGATGTTCGTGCCGACACAGAGGACAGAGGGAATCTCAACATCTGACATAATCACCAGGATTGTCAGAGACTATGACGTCTACGCCCGACGGAACCTCCAACGTGGCTACACGGCCAAGGAGCTCAACGTCAGCTACATCAACGTACAGTCACTCATCAATCCTACATGCAACCATTATGTTGTAATGTTGACCACAACAATTCAACTTTCAGTTCGGTTAAATGAATTCTCTTACTGTAGTTATATCACACTTTTACAGTCTTGATCACCACTCAAACAACTTTACCGTACACTTTTGCCATTCACCCATTCACAGTGCAGCACTTCCTCTGTCGCACCTCTAATACACTGCAGACAGCAATTTGGGGTTCAGTGTCTTGCCCAAGGACACTTCAGCACTCCGAATGGAGGATGGAACCACCAACCTTCTGGGTAGAAGATGACCCACTCTTCTTTCTGAGCCACAGCCACAATGTACTTTTTGTTAAAGGAATTTGGAGAAAATATTTCTGTCTAGCTTTCAATATGTTTTGGTTACACTGACTACCAATCACTTTATTGCATTAGGAGCAACTTCTGCTTGTCTATATAAAGACAATCCACTATATTTTAGTTTAAATCATATTATTTTAGAATATAACACAATCTAGTGTAATATTCTAAACTGATATGATATCAACAAAAAAAAAAGAATCATATCAGGTTCAGGTTTTTACTGCAGGTCGTGTTGGTGTCATTTTTTTGATTTGCAACTCAAAGGAAACATGTTTCTTTTCAATAACATGACATGATATGCAGTGAAACACATGTCAGGTTTCCAGACATTAGGAATGCAACCAGTCACCTACAAGTTCAACTGAGTCAGGATGCAATGAAACATTACTTCCAGAGATTCTGCTGAAGATTTGAACTTTCTATGTTTCCTCACCAGGAGAAAAAGTACCGACTGCAGAACCAGGTGGATCGTATGAAGGAGAAGGTTCGCACTGTTGAGGAGAAGAGCAAACACTTTGTTTACCGTGTGGAGGAGAAGAGTCACGACCTCATCCAGAAGTGGGAGGAGAAATCCAGGGAATTCATCGGCAACTTCTTAGAACTTTTTGGACCAGATGGAACTTGGGTAAATAACTCTACCTAGGCCGCCATCTTCATTATATAGACTGTTGTCACTGTCAATATATTGGACCCCCATTTACTAACATGGACTGTATCCCTCGCTAGAAACAGGTGTTCCAGGAACGCAGTGGTCGAATGCTGTCCTACGCTCTGTCCCCCAGGGAGTCACCCTGCAACAGCCCTCCTCGTGAACTGTCCCCCCTTCGCTCTCCCTCGCCCCCGTCTCCCCCCGCACGCTGGCACAGCGCACGGCCCTCGCCCCCGACCTCCCCGAAAGGAGCTTCGGCGTATATAAGCAGCATGAGTGAAGGTGATGAAGATGAGAAGTAGATGGACTTCTGAACACACTCCCATGCACACAAACATTTCCTGAGAACTGCTCACACACTCACTCAAACACACACACCACCACACACACACACACACACAGTAACCCACTAACACAAACACATCTATACTCCACACTAGAAACACTGGCTGCACAGGGTGTTCATGGGAGATGTGGTTCTGAACTGCAGAGCTAAGAAGCCATCACTATCTCTGTTGTCTGGGCAACCAAGGAGACAGAAGGAAGATGAAGAAAGAAGGAGCGGAGGATATATGTACACACATATCAAGGCCCAGAATCCTTTGCACCACCTTTTTAAGAGGATTTGCTTTGGATTGGCCAGCACTGATAGAGACTGAACAATGGCCTGCTCATAATATCACTTCACTGCTTTGTCATGTTCTGTTTAGGTTAATGTTTTCTTAGGAAGATGCAGAGTAAGATTTTTTTGTAACTGTTGTGATCACCAGATGTTTAAAGGCACAAAGTTACACAAACTCTGTGTCTGACATTCAGGCGAACAGGGAACTGGATTCATTCATCACTGTGTAACTTTGTGCTCACTGAACTTGGAGTTAGGGATTAAAAAAAAGTTGATGCACACCCTAGAATAGCAGAGAGGTGGAGAACCTGTTGGCATACAGACACATAGTTAGTGCAACATTTTACACGGTGGCCGAGACGTCTCACACAAGCACATGAAGGGGAGACACGAATGCAAAAGCCACAACACAAATACAAAAGCCACACAAAGGAAGAGAGCGACAACGGATGTTGACAAAGACACATGCAGAGTTACTTCACGCGCTCAAGTCGACTTATGTCTGCTGCTGCTTAAAATGAGATGAGGAGTTAAGGTGCAAGTGCTTCACTTTTCACTTTTGTGTTTGTGTGAGACGTCTCGGCCACCGTAATTTTATCATAAATGACAGGTAAAAGAAAAGGATTTTATGTAATGTAACAAAAGTGATTCACAAGCTTCATTCCCTTGATTTATTTATTCCCACGCAGCATTATGGACCAGTGAACTGCACCTAATCTGTAAAATACCTGTTAGTAAGTCTCACTGGGTTGTGATGAGGCAGAAGAAACAGTAGCTTCATGAATGTAAACAGTCATTGAGACCACACCTAAAGATTAAATGGAATCTAATTTGTTCCCACATGCTTCCTCGGCACCACAGCCACTCACACTTCTCATGAATTGCAGTAACTTCATAGACACATACCCTTTCTCCATTGAAAGTTGTGTATTTTTTGACAATTTTCCATCTCTTAACGGTCAATGTTTAGCAGGCATTTCGTCGCTCTTTGGAATATGATGTCAGCTGTGAAATAAAAACTGGCGAACTTGGAGAAGCGGCCTTTTCTCCAGGACTCTGACAATACTTGAAATATTCAATAATCGAAGCCCTCCAGGTGAACAGAAGCTGGAGCCTCACCCCGAGTGTTTTCATTTGCTGTATGAACGACCCCCTATACTCTGGTCTGTATCAGAGCAGACTTCTCTTCCTCCTTAACAATACAATACAATATCCTAATGCAATGTAGAGAACTTACTGTCCTGTACGCACTACATGTTAATCTGCACTATATGTACAAACTTTGAGAATGTGTCTTTTTTTATCTTTTAAATTTTAATGTTCAAACAGCTTGATATGTAAATAAAACAAAAGCGTACAACTGCATGACAGTATTACAGTATTTGCTCTTTTTTAAGATGACACAATTTAAACTAGAATTACTGCAGTCACATGTGTCTGCCAACCATTGCAGTTTCAGTCTAAACACAAATGTTAAATGTTCTTTAGTCTTAAATACTTCTCAAAGCTCTTCACATTTAACCAATCAACCATTCACACTTCAAGGGCAATTAGGGTTTCAAGGAATTTGGCATGCAGAATTGGGGAAACTGGGATCGAACTGCCGATCTTTTGGTTAGTGGACGACCCCCACATCACATACTTGAGGTAACCCCGACCTTTGACCGCTGGAATCTAATCAGTTCATCTTTGGGTCCAAGTGACAACTGGTCAACATCTGAAGAAATTTCCCAAAGGCTTGAGATAAAATGTTCAAGAATCTAAAAACATGTGTTTTAAGGACACCCTGACCTCATCCGTTCATTTTTGAGTCTAAGAACGTTTGTACTAAATTTACCTCTGGCCGTCGTCAGCTTAGACATAAAGAACCTCATCACAGATTACACACAACAGCAAATTTCTTTATTGTCAGGTTTGACAGTAGGTATTGTAAATTGGTATCATGCTGAAACACATTGTTAGACTTCTCTTTCACCTTGTTCAGTGTTTGTGTCAATGTTGCAATATTTGCACATCTTTGCATGACTGCCTCCACACTGAGGAGCTCATGCAAAATCACTTACATTATTTTAAGCTTGGAGGAACAGTAGGATTGAAAACAGAGCGATCACTCCACACTGGCTGCATATACAGTGTAGACATTATTCTTAGTTATATATATATGTATATAAACAATATTTTCTATAATACGATAGGTGCAGACAGTCTTTCTTTAAGGTTGTCAATGACTGAAGGTGGAAGATCCTCCTGATAATCATGACCACACATTACAGGCGGTGAACTGAGGCCTTTGAATGAACAAGGGCGGCTGTCTCTAACCTATCGAACAACACTTCCTTTACAGCGGGTGAGACACCGAGCGTTGCTCAGTGTGCCTGGCAGGTTTACAAAGGCTTTGGCAGTGATGAAATTACAGTGTGGCAGAAAAGCAAAGGAGCTACAGAGTGGGGAAACAGTCCATACTGAAGAGTCTCTCAAAAGTCTTCATCTAAAATCCATTCTTTTCAGATCGGATACATGGAGCTGAAGGAGACGAGAAAAGACAGTCATTTAAAATAACATTGAGTTTTAACAAATGGGTTCAGGTTTGGGTCATGCTGAATTTAAGTTTGGTATTTTTCTGTAGCTTTAAAAGATGAGAGTGCTGACCTGGGATCTGATCTGATCATAAAGGCTCACTAAAAAAATATTGATATACATCTGAATTTATCGTATTGCAGTTTTTTTGAAAGAAAATATATTGGACTTATTAAAGTGCACTCATACAGTTCCTGAACACGATTCTTGTGACTTGTGATTGGATGTTATGTTTCAGTACCCACAGATGTTTCAGCAGTCGAGAGCTCAGCTCCAAACCACAATCTCTTCAGTGCTGCTTAACTTCCTATAGCATAGACATAAACAAAAAAGCAATCAGATAAAAACTGATAAATGATATAAAAAGTAATCCTGTTCCACTATCAAAGATTGAAAGTAAAAAAACAAAACATGTGCAAATAAATTAAAACTGTCACCGATGAATTTCCTCTGCTTTTTAGCGGAATCCTTGAAATCATTTTCAGTCGTGATCATAAAACAAAACAAAAATAAATTTTCAAAAAAAGCTTTGTTCAAACTCATTCATTGAAACGATTGGGATTAGTAACACTACATGTGAATCACAAGGCAGACTGCAAGAAGCGTTTGTTAAGTTCGAGCTGAGGTTCTGTATCCAGGTCTGGAATGTTTGCAGGAGGAAATGCAGGGAGGATGTAATGTAATGACATTAACCCAAGTGTATCTTCCTCATGAGATGCATCAGGTCCAGTCCTCTCTTCTGTGAGGATTCATACAATTCATCATGCTGGTGTGTCTGAAGCTACATGACGGCGTTTCATGAACATCCCGCGGATGTGCCGTTCATCGTTAGCAGTTGTTAAATCAAGGTGCAGCTCGCTCGAGTGCAAGCAGGGTCAGTACTGCAGATTAACACAATTGGTGGGTGGTTGAATAACATCTGGGAGTCGAGTAAAACCAGATAAAAAATACCATCACTCCTATTATTCTCTTTAAAAAATCATATATATTGTATGTATCTAGAAGAAAGGCTTTCTCTCAGTCACATAAAATAAAACCCTGACTTGCAGATTTTTAAAAATAAGGTGTACTCCTGTTGCAATGCTTCCTAAATTTAAATTAAATAGAGTGCAACCAAAACGAGACTACGCAAATGACACAGTGGCCTGTGTGTGCATGGAGTCAAAAGTATAATTAAACCTTCCTCCTTTTCCTGTGTGCACTGAACCTCGAACCCCCTGACTCCACTTCTTGAGTGGGAGACGCAGAAAAGCCTTCGCTGACGCTGAGAAAGACACTCGATCAGCAGTGCACGGCCCATTCAGCCACGCCAAGCAGCGGCCTGCTCAGCAAAGTCGACTATGCGGGAGACAGAGGGAGAGATAACAGTAATGCAGGGAATTTAGGTTGAAGTAATGTTCACAGTCTAACCCCATTTATAAACAAACACATAGAAGTTCTTTATAAATGGGATTAAACAGTGTGGATCCATCATTTGGACGAGGTTCACTTTAAACTCCAATGAGAACAAGAAACAGCTCCTCTGATGAAGCTCATTGCCTTTGGGTACAGATTTAAGTCGAGGTCTTCCATCTTTTACAAAGATTCAACCACTGGAATGTAAAAGCCAGTCTGATCCTAAACCAAGCTTTTACCCAAGGGCAACATTTCATCGTATAAGCTCGAGGCAGAGTGCAGAGGGCTGGGCTAGCGGGCGGGGCGGAGTTATCTATTGGCTTTGTATTTAGACTTGCTGGCATCGCGGGGCTCTTTGCTGGGGTTACTCCAGTCGTCGGCCTCGGGGCTGGTCTTGTAGTGCCGCCACGCTGACTTGTTGAAGACGGGCAGTCGCTCGAAGGACTCACTGGACAGGGCCTTCAAATGGAGGAACACAACAGCAAATGAGAAGTCATGTATGTGACGATTTCAATGAGATTTCTGTCTTGGTTGATTTGACTGACTAAAAAGCATTACAACAATCTGGGGCCAAAATACAAAACACATGGGTCATCATTTTGGCATCGTCCAGTGTGAGGTTGGGTCTCATTCTGGTAATATCTGGTAATAAGGGCAAAAGGCTGTTTTAATAGCATTGTTCAAGATCTTTCTGATTTTACCTTCAGATAGATGACAGCATCCGTGCCAACGCCCTCCATTGAGTACAGCTTCAGATCCCCCTGGAAATATCGGGCATAGAGCCTCGAAATTGGTAGACCGTAGCCAAAGCCAGCCTGGACAGAGGAGGAAGAGTAGAGGTAGACTTAAATGTCTCCAGATGTCATCCCACACAAATGTATGAGCTGAAATGGTCACCGGGGTCAACATTGATTTGATTTTATTCGAGTGCGTACCAGGGGGACAGCTCCTGGCTCCAGGCTGGGCGTCGGGGCGGTGGAGTACATGTAGTTAAACAGACGGTCTATCTTCCTGAGAGGAACTCCTCCCCCGCTGTCACTGATCTGAGGAACAGAAAAACCAGGCAGATACAACAGTTAAACATCACAGCATGGTTTGCACAAGGATATCCTGCATGAATTTGGATCTGATTTACCTTTATGGATAAATCCTCTTTACCCAGAGTGACTTTTGCCTTTACGGGTGGTAATCCATCTTTGCTGTTCTCATGGAGCTCCACGGTGGCCCTCATCGAATTCTGCAAATGCCCACAGATTTAATTAACTCAGCTCAGCACGAGTCCTTATAGAATTATAGTCACATTACAGCTTAATTACATTTAAAGAGTGCTGAACTGGTTAGGTTAGCTGCACTCAATGCTGCATGGCTCACCTTGAAGAGCTCGAACAGCATGTGGAACAGATGAGAGGGAACGTACACGGCCTGGATGGGCTTTACAGGGGCCTTCACTGGAGGAAAACAATATGAGGGGTGTGAGAGGACGAAACACACACACACCGACGAAAATGCTAGTCTTCTGAAGTTATTGAGACAGTAGACATTGTAATCATTATAGGAGTAAATGTGGAGCTGCACCCATAAGTTATAAATCAACTCTGCACCAGAAAACATGGTGTTACAGCTGTGGCAGATTACAGGGAGATATGGTTAATCTCATGGGATTATAGCATGAAATGCTTTTTTTCTTACTGTTGAACTCTTCGATCTTGAGCTCAGGAGCAGCCAGGTAGTACTTCTCACACAGCATTTTGGCTGTGTCATAGGCATCTGATAGAGGAGAGCAAAACAACATGAGTCAGGGCAGAACAAGCTGACAATGTTCACTGTTTACATTTAGATTCCTCTTTTAGCTTCTTCCCGGAGCATTGAGTGCAGCTTCTGAAAAACCTTATCACTGTGTAAGCATGCCATTCAGCAGAGACGTTCATGGATTTATGTTTAATCAATGACACTGCTGAGAATGTGATAATAAACAAAGCTAACTCAGTTTCCCATAATACATATATCCAATTATTATTTTATATAATATAAGAAATAATATAGGAAATTTTGGACAAATAACTAAATATTCCCACAGATGAAATAAAAAGTTATTGGCTGCAGCTCAAACTCTGACTTGATTGTTTGTAACGATATAAATGATTTTTTAAATTATACTGCACTTTTCAAAATACTTATACAAAGTTACAACATTATAAACATTTCAGGACTATGCAAATAAGATCAGGGAATAAAATACCACAGAAATCAAATATTGAAATACTTAATTAGAACAAATAAAGATAAAATAATAAAACAGACAATAAATGCAGGTAATAAAATGGTGTGGAAGGATGAATTAAAGGATAAAAGGCCTTTTTTAAGATGTTTTAAATTATAATCATGTGAAAAACTTTTGCAGGGATGCACTGTATAGCAAATATTATGTAATAAACTAAGTAAGCAATAACATAAACTCCAAGAATAATAAGACAAATATAAAGTATTTAATAAAATATGTATTTGCAAAATAAACAATAAAATAAGAATACTTATAAAGACACGATAAGAGAAAGTAATATATAATAAAACATAAAATAAATAACAGACAAAGGCTGAATACTATTTAATTTTGTACAACAGACATACATATATATAGATATAAAGAGATATTATATAGATGCACAGATAACTTTGACCCTCTGACTCACCACTGACGACCTCAGCTACGCTGCAGTTTGGGTCGATACTGCCGATGTGTTTTGGATGAGCAGGGTTGGTGTCATTACCAAACAGCAGAGCTGAACATTAACGTCAGAAAGTAAAACGTCAGAGACGGGTCATGAAGAAAAACACTGTACTACTTGCTATCAGGATGTTTTTCAGGACTCACTGTGCTGGTTGATGAGCATGCGGAACGATATGCGGTTGGTGTAAAAGCGGTCGAGGAAATACTGGATGTTGCTGCTGATGAAGGGGTCAAAGCCAAACTTCTCCTTGTACTCGATGACTCCCTGCGCCATGGTGGGAACCACGTCGTTGTGGCGGTTGCGGATCTCGATCAAGAGCTCCAGGAAGCTAAAGATAAAAATGAGAAAATCTAAATCAATCAATATGTTAACAGAACAATGAAAGATCTTCAAATGTGGAAGACAAAGTCAGGAAAACCCCCATAACCACTGAAAATCTACCCGACACAAATCATTTTCATGTTCGAAGCCTATTGCTAACTGGCTAGCAGTGTGTTTAATAGATAATATCTGAATTGTCTTTTTACTTCCTTGTTTGGACAAGTTTCAAGCTTAAGATCACTGTCCTTACAATCCATTGAACCGAACAGCTCCGGGAAACATGTTTTCTAAACAGACTTATCCAGAATCCCGCCTGTGTTTCTCAGCCATGTGTGGCTGTTTATCATGCGGCATTGTTATAGTATAAATACACAGCGTTACCTGTGCAGTCAGCAGAGATCTGTGTGTACTAAGGGGATTAGCTGCAGTGGAGGAGGGACGTGTAGACATTAAGCCAGTGTACAGCAGCTGGCTGCACCTACATGATATACAGCGTTTTCTTTAACCACTCATTTATCACTCACTCGTTCAGAGCGTGAGGGTCCTCCGCTTTTCGATTCTCATAATCCAGCAACTCCACAAAACTCTGCATGTACCTGACAAAGCAAATAAAGAGGTCAAAGGGCGACTTTTACAAAAGCTTCTTATCACAGAATCTACTATAAACTTTATTATCTGATAAAGAACATAACTGAAAGTGTCTTACCACTTCTGAACCAGCCTGACGGAGGGCTGGCCCAGCAGCTTGTCAGGAAGCAGGTTGACTTCTCTCATGGTGTTGGCCAGTCGCACGGGCAGTTCCTTACGCAGGAACATGTAGGAGGTTTTCTCACACGCATTGTTCCGGCCTAAGAGAGAGAGAGTAGGACGAGTTTCACGTGAATAAAATATGTTAAATAAGTTTCTGGTAGTTTTCTGGTATATCAACATTTCCTGCAGAGGAATATGCTCAGGATTCAAACAAGGCATGTTTATTTATTACACATTTCATACACACAGGGACAGGGACATTGAAAACAGATGGCACAGTTTCATGGAAAACAAAAGAAATAAAACAAGAACATAAGAAAAGCCGTATAAGAAATAAAATTGTTAGAAATGTGTAAACTAAGAAAATGGTATGTTTGATTTAGATTTCTGAATTTTGCTCATAATGCAAATCATATTCTTGGTGTCGAGTGGTAACCAAGGTAATGAGGGGGAAACCACCAGTCGTCTCAGGCTTGTAAAATCCTTTACAAGCCAGTGTGAGATTGGACGTCTGTTCCCAGACAGATAAAAAAAAGCTAAGACGTTAAGAGAACTTCTATCTATGAGTGTTTGCGATTCGATGCAGCTTGATTGAATTTAACTGGACTGTCGGGCCTTGGCGGAGGTGCGCGCTCTACTGAGTGCCATTCTAGTTCTTAATATGAAAACAACCATTCATGCCAGGCAGCGGGAGGCTGCGGTGGGTGTTGATTTCCAACCTTTAACATGACACCTTAAACTTTGCTATCTGCAGAAACATATTTACTGTGCAGCAACATCAGCTATACAAGGAAATTATAAATAAAGTACAGAGGAGGAGTCACGGAAAGGTTAGCAGGATATGTGTGTCTACATCTAAACAGGAAAAACTGAATTACTCTGGAAAATACTTATTTGGCCAGCGTAGCATTTGTAACATCCTTTTACTCCACTTAATGTAATTTACAGTGTGCAACATGCTCCAGTCTCATGCTTCCCTCTCAAACAGAAGCATGTGAAGCGCATTAACCCTCAGGAGAGAGCCACTGAACACTGTGGAAGTCTGTGGGGAAAAGCAGTTCAGATTCTTATACTCAAATGGGACACAATGGTAAAGTCTCAGGCTACACAAAGAAACAATTGCATTTCAAGGGTAGCGGGAACCTTTTGTGCTGTTTTTAGTGATCCCCCACGAGACTCAAACACATACGAGACAGTAAGATACGTCAGCTTGCGTGATTGTTCCATGGGGTGAAGAAACTCGATGATCAGACAGAATGACAGGAAGTGTCCTCTCACCTCAGCCCAAAGGAAAAGCCTTCCCCTGATTCAGCAAATGTAGAGGGAGGCCTTGTAAATGATAAATCTGGGTAGTGAAAACAGCGAACACTGACTCAGCCCTGGAAAAACACACTCCTTGGATGACAGCCCATTTGTTCCCCTGTTGAAACACACCCGTATCTTTTGCCCTGCAGTTGCTTTTTAATACGTCTGCAGAGAAAGATGTACATCATAAACATATTCTGTGTATTCTCTTTTATTGCCTATTCTAAATTCTATTTTATTCTTTCACATGTTTCTCTTGTCTACCTGGTTTTTGACTATCTGCTGCTGTGTTAACTGAATTTCCCTGGTGTGTTTAAGTTTATCTTATCTTATCAATTCCCACTGAGAAGTTAATGGTTGAGTCAATGGTTAATGATACCAGCATAGAAAATGCTTCAGATGCTGAAAATGCCTGGTCTGGCATCAACACATCCGCCAATCTAAACACTGATTCGATACCATGTCTGTAAAGTATGCGAGAGTCACCCAGATAAAAACAACAATTTTCTTTTCCCATAAAGCACTTCTTCTTCGCCGTTCTGCTCCAATGCAGCAGTTGTGCTGTACTGCCACCATCAAGTATTGTTTTTAGAACAGCGAAGAAGTGATTTCCGCGAGGGGAGTTTTGACAACTATGTCAAGGAAGTAACTGTTGTGCAATCCTACATATATTCATTTATCTGTGTACTCTTTGTTTCAGCTATGATTGCCAAACTAGATAAGTTCTATGGCATTCAACTTCTGTATTTATTTGTTCATATAACAATGATATGAATCATCATTTTCATGCAGGGTTAGTAAGAAAGAGCTGTTATATATGCATATAAATATATGTTGTATAAGTTGTTATTTATACCTACTCCAAAAAGGTTATATTTGTGTTTGTGTGACTGTTTGTCAGCAGGATTACGCAAAAACAATTTGTTGAAAGGATGAGATATGTCAGGGAAGAACCCCTTCAATTTTTGGTATGATTCCGAATCAGGAGGCATGTGAAAAAAAGGCGACTGATATTTATGAGTGTGTGATACTTGGTTCGGACTGGTTCTCTGTATTGGGCCAGTCCACTTCTTGAAATCGTATCGGGAAGTGAAAAATGTCATTGAAAGCATCTCGAGTGCAGCAAACACTTCCTGTGTCTCCTCTTACATCCACTGTTGCGTAAGAGAGACAGACGACTGTTAATCAGAAGATGGATTAGGAAAAGCCTTGAGTGCAGCCGCTGAATTAATAACTGTGGTCCTGCAGTGTCAGAGCTCTTGTCAGGCAGCCACAGTTGGTGACTCAACAAATGTGTGCACGCCCAGAAACAAGACCATCCAGATAACTTTGGACAACCACAGAGATGCATCAGCACATGAAACCTGTTGTTGAGCGATGGAGAAAAGGGAAAGTTGAGCTGGGTTCACCCACAACACATGCAGGACCTGGCTGCATCCTGCACACACACACACGCGCACACACACACGCACGCACGCAGAGCTGTCATCCATCCACAGTGTCATGGCTGAAAGTAAACACCACATTGAAAAGGGCAGGTGTGACCAGCAGAACGCGTCAGGTTTCATGGCAGCTGACATCACAAGACGTTCCCTCTATTAATAAACACAGTGACACATCAAATCCAGAGTAAAGATTTTCCAGGAACCTGCAGGGCCACTTGTTCCTCCAGAGGATGACACTCACCAAAATCCAGGAACTGCTTGATGGAGAGCGGGGACGGAGAGAACCGGGAGTAGTACTCGATTTTGGGGTTGGCGTTTTTCAGCAGGGACGCGAGGAGCCTCATCTTGAACGTGTGCAGGTGACGTGTGGGGGTTTAGCTGCGAGAGTGACCCTCTGGAGGAGGAAGAGAGGAAAACACGCGACACGACCCTCTCATCCCCGGTGCTGTTGGCAGGCGGACACGCAGACAGAGCTCCTGTCCCGGCGGCGTCCACATGTGTCCCAAACCCGCGGGGCTCCGGCGGACACCACACCACGATGGACAAACGTCCATAAGGTTTACATGACACGGTGCAGACACTGTGGACCCAGCGGGGACTGCGTCTTCATCACTGGGCTTCCAGTTTTGCTCAGCACCGAAGAGCCTGCTGGGAGAAAACACACACTTCCGTTTGACGCGTTTCAAAATAAGACGCAGCCCGTCAGATGTAGCCGAGCTGAGCATCTGAGAGCTAATGTGTCAACACTCTCTAATAATGAGACTTTACAGTTTGCAAGCTGTTTTGGTCAAATGAGTTGATTCAGATGAACGACTTATTTTGTGTAGATCGATTGCAAGCCATCATGCAAAGTATACTACATGGTTCAAACCAACCACCATCTCATTTTATGAAATAGAGAAAGGTGAAAGAACAGATGCCAACCAACTGCAACATTAGTCCTACTATTGCATACAATCAAAGATGTTAGATTTAACATCACATGAGCAGCTGAACATTTACAACTGTGGTCTTTATATAAATTCTCATGTTTATCAGCAGCTTGTTAATATTTATACTTTTAGAATAATTATTTATGCCATTGACAAAGTGAGAAAACCTGTGAGCCTTTATTCGTAGAATAATATTTGCGAATGCAGCCATGATAATCTCAGAATTTACAAACACTTAGGTTTGAAAACATGATCAGTGATGTGGCCTTCACTGACTGAGCAACATGGAATTCCCCTGGGGTTTTACAACCAGGCATACCATCAATAAATAATAATGATCGATAAAAGCATGAATTACAATTTATGAAACAAAAACCAGCACATTTTGCTCATAGAGGACACGACTGTTGTGAAACCAGGCTAACCAGCAGCACGTTTTATTTTGAAAGACCTTCTCCAAGGTTTCCGGTGTGTGTGGTCTAACTTGACGTCACTGGACAACACGTACATTCGAAGAGTTTCCACTCAACCGCACTTGGCACGGGCTTGTTGATGCACTGCGGTGATTGGTCCAAAACCCGGAAGTCAGCCACAGCAGCAACCCGATTGGTCGGAGGCGTGTCAATCATCGTGGTTTCTGTTGCCTTGTTTACTTTGCAGCTGGTCACTGATACACTGAGTAATATACAAGTACAAGTACACATAAAGAATACTGCACATTGTAATCGGTAATATAAATACTTTAATATTGTCTTGCAGGATTTAATGTGAATGTTTAAATCCCTGTGTCAGTGTTCTGCTGCAGTTGATCACAATTACACTCCACTAACAGTTTAGTTTCTACCGCCACCTACTGGCAGAAGATTGAAAATATCCATATGCAGATGGATAACTGTGATCGTCATATTCCAGAGGTTTTAACACAGACAGCAAATTCATGATAATACATACAAATACAGTTTAATATAATAAATGCCTCACAAAAGGGAATATCTCCATGAGCAGTAGAAGTTGTATTTTTGGTTGCCCTTGGTTTGACAGAGAAGTTTGCACAAAGCTGAGTAATTCAATATTCTTTCATCTTTAATTCATGTCCATCTCTACCTCTATTTCATCACCATTGCTTCTGGAGTATTTCACTTAGAGCACACGACATAAGCTTAACATGCTTGAATGTAAAATGTCAACATTAATTCATAAATTTATATTTAGTTGGGTTAAAAAAAACACCTTAAAATGTACTACTTATAAGCTTTATACAACCCTGCACATAATTAATAGCTAATAAATACAGTGTTTACCGTAGTTAATGTAGCAGTTCATTATGTAGCATTTCTTATCAGTAGTATTTAGTTATTGTGTTAGGTGTTGAGTTCATTTAATTTAGTTTTGTTGGAACTGAGCAGCCTTATTGACATCACAGGTTTATAAAGGCAGATAAAGAAAAACAGCACAGGAGGTTTTATGCTTTGAAACTCATATTGAAGAACTAACTGCAAAGCTTAAATCTCAAGTTTATTTTCTAAACTAGAAGTGTTTCAGTTTTACATGACAGCATATTGTAGAGGCAACATTTTTATCAGTGTTTGTTTCAGTGTACATGAATACTGCTGCTCATAACCTCAAGCCCCTTGATGCTTGGATGGAGCGAATCATTTCATTCGCTATGAAGAACTAGACTGGGGATCACTGACCATGTGAAGGGAACTACACTATGTTTACTTGGCTCACAACAATGGATTGTCCTTGATATTCAAATCTATTTACAGAATTAAAATTGAATCCATAGACATTGTAAAACTATTATTGTTATTAAAATGGTGAAAAATGATAAATGATGTTTTATCACTGCTCTACATGAATTATTTTTCTTCTTTGTGTTCTTTTTACTGTATTGCAATTCATTCATGTCAATTAATGAAAATCCACAACATTAGTTTCTATATAATTCATATTTATTCACATGTTCTTATACAATCTCTTAATCAAATAAATGCAGGGGATAAAAATCTTTCTCTCACATACACACACACTCACACACACAGTCTCATGCAGACTCCGCTACTACGACCATCTTGGTGTTTTCATTGTTGTCGTCTTCTTTTTCTTCAGGTAGAGGCTCATACTGTCGTCGATACAGCAGCCGCGTTACCAAGGTGATGATGAACATCTCCAGGATCAACAGCTGCTGACTTATCACTGTGGAGCAGGAAGTAAAGGAAATCAAAGTGGTGACAAGAAAAAATACATTCTTCAAGGATGGGTGGATCAAACAAAACAAACAAATGGATGGATGGACTGATTGTTGACTCACTGTATCCTCTGGCTGGCGCAGAGAAAGGAGGTATACAGGTGATGGTTCCATTCATGGCCAAGATGTTGATGATGGCTGACTGCAACTGGCTCAGGATCAGCACCAGCTATGCACATACGCAGACGCACACACGCAGACGCACACAC